TCCCCCCTTCCAGGGCAGGCCCGGAGAGAGCCAGCGTGGTCTGGCTGTTAGGGCAAGATCGCCCGCCAAGAGAAACCACGAGCGATGGTAACACTGGAATGGGGGCTGGTGGAGGTTGAAGGAACATAGGATTGAGGGCATCCGCGGGTTTAGGACTGAGCAGATGGGTCATGAAGCACTGACCCTCTGAGATGTCCTGCTTTCCCATCAGTCAAGTGGGGACGTTGACCACTGCCTACTTCCCGCATCTTGGGAAGGCACCAGTGAGACCATAGCTGTGAACATCACTTGAATGTCTACTATAAATGCTGTATCTGTGACCACCATTCACGGGGTGTCTGACACGTGCCAGGCTCCTGACCTGTGATGTTTTATCTTTCTAAGAACACCGTGAGATAGGATTCTTTTTTATTATCCCCATTTTGTCAATAGAAACTAAGCCGGCAAAAGTTAGGTTCCTGACCACAAATGATTAATGTTAGTAGCCAAGCCAGGCCTAGCCCTTTATCCTTCTTCTCTAGGCCTCCTTCCATTTCAATACAGACCTTCTCTCTGCGTCTTTGTCTCTCCCTCTGTAAATTCATTTATTTATTCTACCTAAATACTTACCCCAAGCCTATGTGGATCACAGAAACTGGATAAGTGCAGTACGGAATTGTACTTGCAGATGCTTGCGCAAGAGGGGTCCGTAGGATCTTTGTGTTTGATGGTCTGTTTTCCAGAGGGGGCAGTGAGAACCCGAGAGAGGAGGTGACCCACTGAAGGATGCATAGTGAGTGCGGGCAGGCCCAGAACCCAAGTTCTGTTAGTGCAGCCCCCCCTCCCCCTCTCCTGCTTCCTTCCACTCAGTAACTCTGAGAATGTGCTCTGGGCCAGGCACTAAGCTAGGTGATTTGCTGATTGTAGTCGGTAAAGCGGAGCCACCAATTTTTCCTGAAGATGCACTCCTTCTTAAACAGGGAATCGATCTGCGACAAGATAGCCAGGCTTCCGGTGAAGCAACTTAGAATCTGGATGAAGCCCCATTAATCCACTGCTGGGGCGTTTTATCTCCCTGGCTTGGGGTAGCTACAGCCCGTTCAGATCAGCAGTGTGGTGTCCCTGGAGGAATGGATACAGAAGGTTCTGCAACCAGAGGGGGGTGTCCCAAGCGTGTCAGGGGTGTGAGCAGACTGGTGGTGGGGACCACAGGGGCCTGTGCATGCGGGGCTGGTGCACAGTGCAGCACATGTGGCCCCAGGCCTGTCCCTGCTCAGCTACAGACTAGCCCTGTGACTTAGGTCTTTCTCAGACTTTTCCCAAAGCTCCATCTCCCCATCCATAAATGGGAATAGATGGTCTTAAACGTTCCTTCTCACATTCAGAAGCAGGATGTCGGGCAATGGCACAGGCTTTGTTAGGGAGCCAGGAGACCTGGGCTTTGAATCTCAGCTTTACCTTTCTGGGACCCTGGGTGCTATGGGTAGAATTGTGTCCTCCATACAAAGGTATCTTGGCATCGTAAGCCCCAGTACCTCAGAATGCGACCTTATTTGGAGATAGGGTCTTTACAGAGGCAATCAAGTTAAAATGAGGTCATTAGGGTGGGCCTAATCTAAGGGGAAATTTGGACAGAGACGGGCACATGTAGAGGGAAGGCAACGGGAAGAGACACAGGGACAAGATGCCATCCACTAGCCAACCAGAGAGGCCTCAGCAGGAGCCAACCCTGCCAGCATCTTGATCTCAGACTTCTAGCCTCCAGAACTGGGAGGAAAAATACTTCTGTTGTTTAAGCCACACTGTCTGTGGTGCTTTTTTACGACAGCCCTGGCAAACTAATACAAGTGACTGGATCTCTGAGTTTCCTGAGTAGTAACATGGGGACAGTGACCCCTGCCCTGTAGCGTCGTTATAAGAATCTGCTGAGAGGATGTATATAAGACACTTAGTGTGGCCCTTGGCATATAGAAAGTGCTCAGTAATAGCAGTGGCTTAGCCTGTGCTGTGACCCCCCTACCTCCCATTCCATGGGTGGGTCCTGCTGGGGCTTCCCAGTACAGAACAGGAAGGCCTCAAGTCAGACCTTTCAAAAGAGAGCTGGGTCACCCGAGGCACCGCTTCAAAAGCCTCTCTAAATATGGAGAGGGCCAGAGAAATCACTATTAATGCAATGCTTAATGGTTTTTAGCTGGAGAGTGGCCTCAGCCGTAATTGACAAGGCCTTGAAGCTGAGGTTTCTTTTTTTTTTTTTTTTTTTTTTTTTTTTGCGGTACGCGGGCCTCTCACTGCTGTGGCCTCTCCCGTTGCGGAGCACAGGCTCTGGACGCGCAGGCTCAGCAGCCATGGCTCACGGTTCTAGCCGCTCCGCGGCATGTGGGATCTTCCCGGACCGGGGCACGAACCTGTGTCCCCTGCATCGGCAGGCGGACTCTCAACCGCTGCGCCACCAGGGAAGCCCGAGGTTTCTTTATTTTTATGCCCTGGGTACACTTTGAGTATGTCAAGCTGCTCTGGGTAATCATTAAGTGCAGTAGTCATGGCCACTTGATGGGCATTTTGTAAAGGAGGTGGCATGGCTTTCATGGGAAGGACACTCATTGGATAACCCTGAGCAAATCCATTATCCTCCTTGGGCCTCAGTTTCCATAGGTGCAAAGTGAAGTAGGTAGACCAGCCAGGCCAGGAGTTCGTAGCTGTGTCTGTGAAGGGCTAGAAGTTGAGTCTAAATTCCTTGCACGCCCATGCACTGTGCACACATCTCCCGAATTGTCCACAGAGACTTGCATGGACAACCTCTCAGGGCTGCTGGTTCCTGGCTGGTCTGGGATTCTGGAACTCTGATTTAAAAGCTGTTTCTAAGACTCAAAAAGCAAGTCCTGTAGAGGTGGCTGCTCTGAGTTACTAGCACGGGCTGGTTCTAGAACATACAGAGAGAGCGCTCCCCAGAGAGCTTATAGCTGGGGCTTTGCTGGCCAGGGAGGCCCTAGCTGCCTAGCATCCTTGTCTATCTACTTTTGGCCTTCCCTCCTGCTCCACAGGCCCTCAGTGCTGTCCTCCCAGCCCCACCACCTGCTCCTCTCCTGGATGTTACACCGGCCTAACCCATCTGCCTGCTTCCCACCCCCATCACACTTGGCGCAAAACCCAAATCCCTTCAATCCCTACCTGATCCGGCCTCCGCCCGCCTCTCTGAAGGCATCCTCTCCCTCCCCCTACTCTAGGGCTGAGCTGCAGCCTCACTGGCCTTTGGTCAGTACCCCATTCTCTAGGCTTGGTCCCCACCTGGATCTTTGACTTTGCTGGGTCCTCTCTGCCTGGAAGCTTCTTCTCCACATTTTCCACTGCCTGGCTCCTCCTTCAGGTCTCAAACCAGACGTCAGCTCCTCCAGGAAGCCTTTTGTCACCCTGTCTAAGTAGATTCCCCTCCTTCTCTTGTCCTCCATCAGTGCACCTGGTTTGTTTCTTTTGTGGCACTAGCACAATCTGTAATGAAATATTTATGTGTTTTCTTCCCCCACTGAGATGTCAACAAATGAAGGAAAGAACTGAGTCTTATACATCACAGTGCCTGACTCACAGTAGCACTTAATAAATGCTTGTAGGCCCCTGCTATCATGCATGCACGCCTCAAATTTAAATACTAACAACACCAAGTACTGTTGAGGGCGTGGAACAATAGAAACTCATAGGGCTGGTGGGAGTGTGCAATGGCACCACCACTTTGGAGAGCAATTTTGTAGTTTTTTTTTTTTTTGTGGTACGTGGGCCTCTCACTGTTGTGGCCTCTCCCCTTGCGGAGCACAGGCTCCGGACGCGCAGGCTCAGTGGCCATGGCTCACGGGCCCAGCCGCTCTGCGGCATGTGGGATCTTCCCGGTCCAGGGCACAAACCTGTGTCCCCTGCATCAGCAGGTGGACTCTTAACCACTGCGCCACCAGGGAAGCCCAATTTTGTAGTTTTTAATCAAGTCACACATACGCTTACCATATGACCCAGCAATTCCACTCCTAGAGATTCACCCAAGAGAAATAAAAACATAGGTCCACACAAAGACTTGTACACACGTATTGTAGGCTTGTTCATCACAGCCAAAAACTAGAAACAAACCAATCATCCGTCTAGAACAGGCAAGACCACTGTACCCCCATAGTCCAACTGGGCAGGGGAAGATTCGCAGCCCCAGGAGGGGGCTGAGAATCCTCACTGGAGTGACGCAGGACTTAATATTCATGGATGTTGAACACAAGTGGATTGGAGAAAGACCGGGCAGATGGAGGGCAGGCGTGGTCAGGGATGTCCCTGGAGACATACTCTCTGGGCACCGTGCTGCCTGGCCTGAGAGCAGGGACTGACCGCTTGGGAGAACCCAGCCCCGGTGCTGCCTGTGTGTGCAGGATTCTTGCAAAATGCCAATTAAGACATTTGACCCAAATTCGGATAAAAGCCTTTTTCCTGTGTCAAGTTGAGCTAATAATATACATTTATTCATAATTTATGAGGCCTAGTAAGTGGGAACAATTAAGGAAAAGGTCTGGATAAAACCTATTTCTTTTAAGTGTCACACAAGCCTGTCTCTGTTCTCTAAAGAGGTTCCACCCTCCTCTGCCTGCCATGAAACTCTGTTGTTCTTATTATTTTTAAAAATTTGTTGTCATTACTGCTTGCTACCATTTATTGAGCAACTTACCAAGCTAGGCTACGGCACTGCCTCCTTTAATATTAACTGTATGAGACAGTTGTTCCATTTTACAGATGAGACAGTTGAGCTTCAGAGAGGTGAAGGGACTTGCCTAAGGCATCACAGCTGGTGAATGGGGAGTATGATTCAGGTCTGCCAGACCCCAGTGCCTGTGGTGTCCTGTTTCTGTGTTAGCCTCCCCACTCAGGCTGTTTCTGCACCTGCAAGGCAGCCCTTCTGTTGGTAACTGTTAAACTTGGGAGACCAGGGTGAGAAGGTGACTACCTTCTGAGTCCACAGGTCTGGGGTTAGGCCTGAGAATCTGCATTATTTCTTATAGGTTCCCAGGTGGTTCTGCCCCTGCCGGTCCTGGGACCACCCTCTGAGAAGCATCAGTTCGGTCGGTACTGTTACCAGGTCCTCCATGACTCCCTTCTACCCCACCCACCACTGGCAGGTGGGTTTATGGCCTTCTAGACCTTTTCCTGTGTACTGGCACAGTATTCTCATACGTATTATCGTGAGAAACGTGTAGCTTGAGTCTGTCCCATTCTCTTTACACATGTGGGGTAATATCTTACTTGCTGATATTCTGCAGTTTAGTATTTTATTTAACATGCCATGGAGAACATGCATAACGGCCTCATTCTTTTCAACAGCACTGTTTTATGATATAGGTGATTATAGCTTTACTTACCTATTGTCTACTGATGGGCGGTCTTTCACACTTTAGACATTACAAATATTCCTGGGAACATGGGTGAGTGTTCTTCCAAAACATAGCAATCATTCAATGATGTCATCTCTTGTTATTATTGCTTTTTGTTGTTTCATTATTCATATAGAGGGGTTGTTGCCTTCCGCAAATCCCCTTTCAGGTGGAAGCAGTTGTATAAAGGAATAGATCTCTATTTATAGGTTGTAATAAAGTTTTCAACAAAATATTTCTGGTAAGAGAATAGAGGTGCTATGCGGGCAGGGCTTTGAGGGGTGTATAGGAGTGCAGAGGAGGTGGGGACGGAGCAGCAGGAAGGGGGATTTGTACTGCCAGGGCCTGACTTAGCTCATGGTAGGTTCGACAGTTGCAAGAGGATGCTGCTTTACATTTCTTGGTCGCTTGGCAAAATCAGGCCTCGGACAAAGGCAGCCACAGGTTCAGACTGGCAGCATCCTGAGTAAGAGGGTCCCTGCTGGGGTCTAACCAAACTCAGCTCTGACCCGCCTCCTTCCTTCCTGTCTCCTCAGGGCGGGGGATCTGGGGAGGAGCAACTCTGCGCTGACTTTCCGGAGCTAGACCTCTCCCAGCTGGACGCCAGCGACTTTGACTCGGCCACCTGCTTTGAGGAGCTGCAGTGGCGCCCAGAGAACTCCGAGACCGAACCCAGCCAGTACAGCCCCGACGATCCGGAGCTCTTCCAGGTATGCCCTCTGGAACCTCGCTACCTCTCTCTACCCTTGAAAGCCCGGCTCTGCCCCGAGCCATCTTCTTCTACACTTGCTCATGCAAAGAAGTCTCATCCACCAGAGCTCTTGGGACCCTGTCTCTTGTCCCGGGTCTACACTGGATCTTGGGCGGCTCTTGCCCCCTTACCAGGCTGTGTTATCGCCCCTGGGAAGTGAGGGCTCGGAAGAGCTGCTCTCTCTATGGCCCCAGTCAGAACCGAGGCCCTCTGTGAGCCAGAGCGGCTTCCAAGGCCTCCCTTCCCTGTATGGTCACAGTGAACTCTCATTCCCACCCTGTGAAGCAGGTGAGATGATTCCCCCATTTTACAGATGAGGAAACTGAGGCTTAAAGAAGTTTAGTCACGGGCCTAGGGTGATTTACCTTGTCGGTAGCTGAACTAGATTTAAACCCAGTTTGCCTGTCTCCTGAGCCAGAGCTTTATAACCATGCTGACGCCATAATGGGAAGGACTGTCCCTGTTTGTGTATATTAACTCGCTTAATTTTCTTAACAACTCACACACAGGGGTATAGTTATCTCCATTTTTCAATTGGAGCCTAGAGGTTCTTTAAAAAGAGGCAGTGCCGAGAACCGCAGTGCATATCTATGCATCTGCCTCTGTTCTCAGCTTTGGAGGCACATTTCCTTTAAGAAGGCCTCGAACATGGGGTAATGTGATGTCTGGGATTTGCATCAGAATAAAGCAATCCCTACATGCATTTGCGTTTGTGGGTGTGGGTGCACGGCATGGAGGGTAATAAGTGAAATATGATTGGCCACGTTGAAGCTGGGTGATGGGTACATTTGGACTCATTATTCTTTCCTTGAAATATGCTCCCCTATAAAGATTGGAGGAAGAAGCCATAGCTCCCTGTGTCTGTCTGGCAGGATGATGATGATGATGATGTCTGGCAATATAATAATAACAATAGCGACAACAATAATAACAACATACCATGTGCCAAGTCTGTGTGCCAAGAGCACCATCTCAAATAGTACTCCTGACAGAGTGTATCATTCCTTCTAGAAATGTTTATGGAGCTCCCTGTATGTGTCAGACACTGTGTTCAACAGTGGACTCTATGGTCTAGAGGGAAGACTGACCCTAGATCAGGTAATACATAAACCAACAGAGGTCACTTGTGACATGGGCACAGTAGGAATAAACCTGGGATGAGAAGAGCATCTAAAGGCTGGGTGGTCAGGAAAGGCCCTTCCGAGGACAGATGCTTCGGCTGAAGGAGGAGGAGGAGCCACATGACGAGTGATGATCACAGAGCTAGGAAGCAGGAAAGCTCGCTGTGTTGGGACCCGAAGGGCTGGAGCGGTAGCTAAGGGGAAGGTGCCAGGAAGTAGTTGGGGGGTGGGGGTGGGCTAGGAGGGGCCAGATCATGCAGGCTCTTCCGGGCCATGTTAAGGAGTTGGATTTTTCCCAAGATTATTCTAACCTGTCCGTAGAAAAACTATTAGTAACCCATTTTACAGGTGAGGAAAGTGACGCTCAGACAGGTTAAGTAACTTGCCCAAGGTCATACAGTTAGGAAGGGTCAGAGTGTAGCCTCTAACACAGGACCCCAAACCCCTCGCTGTTGTATAACCTCTTTGCCAACCCTATGACGATCAGCAGGGCTGGGCTCTAATTCTGGCTCTTTCCCAGGACGTCCATTCTTTCTCACAACAATGGGGTTAACTACGCTGTGCTACCTCCTCCCTCAGAGGGGGCCAACTTCCAGGAAATGCTTTCAGGTTATGGAGAGCTGATGAGTGAGAGGGGTTTAGATGCTGCGGGGAGACCATCCCCACCTAGACTGTACAGGCCTCACCTACTCAGAGACTGGCCAGACCCACTAGTAAGCTCCTGCCAAGGTGCTACTATGTGCATGAAATGGTCTCAGACACAAGTCAGCCTTGGTATGGCCCTTGGGCTCTTAGCACAGCAAGGAAGGCAGGAGAATCTTCACAGATGGTTAATGAGGCAGAACTCTGCCCACTCAGCCCCTCTCCCTTCACGGCCCGCACTCCACCTCTGCTCCACCCATACACACCAGTGCGCCCCTGTGTGCCTCTGCGGTGATTATGTGATTAGTGCCTGATTCCTCCCTGCCCCCCTCCCCCATCATAAACCCCCTGAGCTTGGGGGCTGATACAGCGTTGTGCACTGTTATATCCCCAGGGCTCTGCATGGAGCCCGGCACTTCCTTGGGGCTTAAAAAATATTTATCATATGAATAAATCCTTTGACACCCAGCTGTCATGTTAGCCCTTCCTAAGGCAGGTGGTCAGTGACTTCCTCTCTGGGCTCCCATCCTGTGTACGTGCATGCCTGTGACCTTCAGGCTTCGAGCTCCTTGAGGACAAACAGAGTTTTGTTCTTCTGTGGGGCCCTTGTGCATTGAAAAGACTCAATCATATGTGTTGAATGAAGAAACTGATTGTAATAGTTTCCTTCCTGCCAAGGACCAGACACGACCCATTCCAGAGTCCTTGAGCTGGGATACAGGGACCAGAGGTTCTAATACCCCCTCTGCCACTAACTGGGACAGCGTCCTTATCTGACCAGTGGCAGTCATAGAGCCATGCTGCCTTGTGTCAGAGCCGTGTTCTCACAAGTCAGGTGGTACCATCACTATGGAAACAGACAGAGTGGAGAACAGCTACCCTTACAAGAGTTGACAACTGCTTGGGGGCAGGGACAGTGCCTTCCGTTTCTGTGTGCCCAGAGTCCTAGGGCCAGGGTCACAATAGGCTAAACTTAGTAAGTATTTTTGGAGGAAGCAGGTGTTTGGTTCTATCACCGTGTGCTACGTGGCCTTGGGCTAGTAGCTCCTCACTGTTGGGCCTAAGTTTCCCCAGGTGAGAAATGAGGAATGAGCATGGATCAGATCAGTGATTCTTACTCTGTTGTAGGGAGAGAGTCCCTGGGTCCCGTTAGACCCTGATGACATCTGTGGACCCACCCCCAGAAAAAAGGAAGGGAAGCTGATTTCCGGGGTTTCCTGCACCCCAGTTAAGCCCTGGAACGGCAGATGATTTCTGAGTGTTTTTCTGGCCCCGATAGCCTAAATTCTGTCCTGCGTCCTTCCTTCAAGCTCCTCTAGGCACCCAGAATGAAGCGTTCTCCCTCAGGTTTCTTGCAGGTTCCTTTTCCTTCAGCCTAAGAGAGCTCAGGAAGGTTGGGGGTGGAGCAAGTCTATTAATATCCCTTCCTCAGCTGATTAACTCTCCATTAATTTGCACTTTGTTTCTAAGCGGAGCCGGGAGAGCTGAGCTAACGCGCCAGAAGAGGAGAGGGGCGGCTCCCTGTGATGTATTATCCTAGGGTGCTGATGGCAAGATGCCGAGAGCACGAGTGGACTTTCTTCCCAGACAGGGTCAGGACCCCCAGCCCTGTCTGGCTGTTCCAGAGCTGGAGCAGCCCAGGGAGGGCTGAGGAGAGAGCGGGGAGACCTTCTGTCAGTCATTTTGTTTTTACTCAAACTGTTGGGGCTCCTTGGGGTCTCTGCCAGCTGGCATTCCTTTCAGCACCATGCCTGGCACCTAGTAAGTCCTTGACCATCCTCCCCAGCCCCTCCTGACTTGCTGTGTGACCTTGGCATGTCTCTTTCCTGGACCTTCATTCCCCCCAACCCCAAAAGAATGGCAAATAGGCTTCCTCATGAGTTCCAACTGAGACGTATCGGCAGTGTTGCCTGGAGGGTTGTGGTCAGAAAGGTGGAAGGGCAGGGTGGGGGGGAGGGATGGGGACAGTAGCACGCAGGCTGCATGTTTGACATCCCTGGTCACTACGTGATCCCTGAAGGCCCTTCCAGCTCTGATAGTTGTGATAATTCAGAATATCTCTGGGCCATGCTTCTCTCCCTGTGAAAGAGGGAACCCTTATTCCATCCAGTGCTGATGACATCATTTCTGAATAACTTCCCTCTAGAATCTGTTTTTTGAGACACTAATCTCAGTCTCTCCCCAGTGGTCAGAGTTCATTGTTTGGTTCACTAATTCTTCCATTCAGCAAATCTGCCTGGAGCCTCCCATGCCCCAGGCACTGAGCTAGACCCAGGAACATTGCACAGAGCCCTTGTGTCACTGCCTCCAAACTGGCCTTCCAAGTAGCCTTTGGAGGGAAGCCAACCAGGGATCCTGCCTTCCCGTTGACCAGAAATCAGCAAGGCTTAGAAGAGGGAAATGACTTGCCCAGGATCACCCTGTCAGTGGCAGAGCTGCTGCCACGGTCAGCCCCAAGAGTGGTCCTTGAGCCCCAGCTCCCAAGATCTTAACTCCGCATCAGGCTGGGCAGATTGCTCTGGGAACACAGGGTTGGGATTCTGGCCTGAGGATGGGGATGAGAGGCTGCCACTTGAGCCCGATTGCATTCCCGAACCAGAGTTCTTGGGCCTGGATCTGCCCTTGGACTCCCATCCCCAGGGCCCAGGTCAGGCTCAGCCAAAACCTCTTGACCTTTTCTTTTATTCTTAGCTCTGTTCCAAAATCACAAACACATTTTTTCTCTTCTCCCCATGTCCCCCCTTCGAATTACTCAGCTGCTGCTCCGGCTGCAAGGCCTGGAACAGATTTCATGCAGCCAAAAGGCCGTCACGACAGGCGTATTTCGAATGAACTTCCTGAAGAAAGGATAAACATCCTGACCTGGGATGGGAAAGAGTGCTGGGGAAGGCATCATGTGACAGAACTGCCTCCTGCCAGAACAGGCCCAGCAGCCGGGGGTTACTGAATGAGGCGCTTGGTGCCTCACCTGATAGCAGTGCGATCTCTGTGCCCCAGGGCCGGGGGGCTGGGAGTGCGCACGCTGACCCTCGTGTTATGTCTGAGACATCGGGGAAGGAAGCTTCTTGGTTCATGTGTGTGTGCTGTGCTCAGTGTAAGCCCTGCCTCTGCCCTGGATTTGCTGTGTGGATGAAGGCAACGTACCCAGGACACATCGGTCAACCTCTATGAGTCTCAGTTTCCTCAAATGCAAAATGGTGATGGGAATAGTATCCTTCCCCGCAGAGGTTATTGTGGGGTTTACCTGAGGCAGTATTTACAAAGCCTCTCTATTCCTCTCGTTAGCCAAATTCTTTGTCCCTGGCCTTGGCACTAGGTTTTCTCTCTGCCTGGAATCTTCTTTCCTCAGCTCTTTGCCTGGCTGGTTCCTTCTCATCTTTCAAGCCTAAGTTTCAGTATTAGCTGCTTAAAACAGCCTTCTCTGACCACTGTAAATAGCCTATGAATCTTCACCACCTTCTTATTCTCCATCACAGCTTCCTTTTATTTTTTTCCCAGGCTGTCTCACTCTCTGAAATGATCTGATTTTGTTTCCTTGTTTAATGCTTTTCTCCACTGGAGGGTAAACTCCATGAGGACAGGGGCTGTATCAGTCTTGGGATGCTGTGTCACCAGTGCCCAGACAACACCAGGCACAGAGTAGCCATTCAGTACATATGTGCTGGGAGAAGCGGGGCGGGGGGGGGGGAAGAGGAGGGGAGGAATTGCCCACTGCCGCCATCATTATCATCATCACCACCATCACCACCACCACCACCACCAACATCACCATCATCCACCCCCACCACCATCCCCATCATCATCCCCACGACCATCACTACCACCACCACCACCATCATCACCATCATCCCCACCACCACCACCACCATCCCCATCATCATCCCCACCACCATCACCATCATCACCATCATCCCCACCACCACCACCATCACCATCATCACCACCGACATCACCATCATCCCCACCACCACCACCATCATCGCCACCACCATCATCATCGCCACCACCAACATCACCATCATCACCACCACCACCACAACCAACATTACCATCCCCATCTTCATCATCATCATCATCATCATAGCAGGAATCATAGTAGTAGTAGTAGTAGTAGTAGTAGTAGTAGTAGTAGTAGTGGTGGTAGTGGTAGTGGTGGTAGTGGTAGTGGTAGTGGTAGTGGTAGTGGTAGTAGTAGTAGTAGTGGTGGTAGTGGTAGTGGTGGTAGTGGTAGTGGTAGTGGTAGTGGTGGTGGTAGTAGTAGTAATGAGTGCTTGTTAGGTGCCAGGCACTGTTTTCTAAGCATCTTACATATGTTAACTCAGCCCTTGACAATAACCTTATGAAGTAGGTTACAGTTGATAAATGTGAGCTCTGGGATTCAGCCCCAGTTCCAGAGCTCAGGCTCCTAGCCGCTGCACTGACTGCCCCTCCATGCGTGAAGGAGGCAGCAGGCCCCCGGAACCCACAGGGGATGGTAGCTGTTTCCCTATTGCTCTGCTTTCACTGTCACGGTTGAACCTTGAAGCTTCCAGCCTTTCTACCACCTGCCTGGGCCCCAGGGTCAGAGAGACTGACCTGGGGCTACCATGGGCATAGAGCAGCCTCAGGGCCCTGTCCAGGGGTTTGGACGCAGGAGGCCGTGGTGTGAAGCGGCTGTCCTTAGAGGAGGGGACGGGCGTCCCTCACGTGGACGCCCTGGGCCTGGGGTCACATGCTGATGAGCAGCAGAGTCCAGACTGGGGCTCCTAGGCCAGGCCCCTTTCCATTTCCACCTGCTGCCTTCTCGTAAACTTCTTTGATTCTTGGAGTCCATAGCACATTTCTCGGGCATCTGCCGTCCCAGCAAACTGAGAGGATCTGAGTGGATTTGGCGGGAGGGTGATGGTAGTGCAGCTGTGTGTACAGAGCAGATTTCTACACAAAGTCGCTGAGCCCAAGGCGTTGACTAACCGTGTCCCCTCTCTGCCTCTCTGCTCACTGCAGATAATCGACAGTGAGAATGAGGCCCTCCTGGCAGCACTCACCAAAACCCTGGATGACATCCCCGAAGATGTTGTGCATCTGGCCGCCTTCCCAGCCCTGGATGACGGAGACGCACCCTCCTGCGCTTCTGCTTCGCCTGTCCCCTCATCTGCGCCCCCAAGCCCCTCCCTGGAGAGGGCCCCAGCCTCAGCCCCTGAAGTGGATGAGCTCTCGCTGGTGAGAATCTGTTTCCAACTGAAATGATGGTGGTGGCTTGAGATGTGGTGTCTGGTGGTAGAGGTGGTGGGTGCTGGAAAACCAGCTCCAGCCCCTGCAGGGGTCTCTGTGCATCACTGGCAAAGGTTCAGGGCAGCAGCCTGGACTGGCCATGGGAGGCCTCCCTGGGCTTCGCCTGCAACACTGTAGGCCCTTTGGGATTTCATGGATTGACGCTAAGTGTGTGTTAAACCCTTGAAATTAAATGTAAACATTTTCCTAAAGATTATGCTTACACACACAGTAAAAATTCAGGCAGGAAGTATGGATAGTTAAAAGCACAACCTCCTTACCCATCTCATAATCGTTTTTTCCTACCTTAGAAGTAACCATGGTTACTGATCTGTTGTGTGACTTTCCTCTTCCACTTTTCTTTTTCACTACAAAAGGAAGCCTCCATTATATACTGCCCTGCATGCACCTTGCTTTTCTCAAGTGAATTGTGTGTCTTGGGAACTCTTTCAAATGAGCGGAGGTATCTCTGTTTTATCCTTTTTGTTGGCTGCATAGTGTTCCTTCATAAGGATGCACCATACTTCTTCAACCAGTTCCCTGGTTGGCAGATATGTACATTGTTTCAGCTCCTTTATTGCTCCATTGCTTCAGTCTGTGTCCTGTTACTGGCCTTGGCCATCTGTAAGTGGATACATTCCTAGAAAAGGAATTCCTTGGTCGTAGGCTGTGTGGTTTTTCAGTTTAGACAAATACTTCCAGTTGGCCCTCCAAAGAGGTTGGACCGGTTCGTACTTCCACCAGCAAAAGTTAACTGCTACCTGAGTGTCCGTGGAATGTAGAAACGTACACATGGCATTGCAGGTTTCTAGGGAGAAGGTCTCAGCTTTTTCAGATTCCAAAGGGTTCCGGACCTCAGAAGTTGCTGAAAGCAGTTGCCCTTGACTCGGGCTTAGGGTGCCAGAAAGCCAGCTGTCCTGGCTTGTGAAGAACAGCTCATCTGTCTTGGGCTCCTCACCTTGACACTGTAGCTCCTAGGGGCTGGCGAGACTTAGCTGGAAAATCGGAGCCTGGTGGAGGTAGAAGGGGTCTTTGGTCGTGAAGAGTTAGAGCCGGACAGGCCCTTGGTGACCGTAAAGTGCGACTCTGGGGAAATTGAGGCCCAGCGAGGGGAGGGCCTCTCCCAGGGTCACACAGCAAGTTGGTACGCCAGCAAGGACCAGAGTTCAGGTACTCTGACTCCTGGTCCAGGACCCCTTGCCCTCTTGCCCGCTGCCCGCAAGTTCCCCAAAGCAGTGTGAAATATTTAGTAAGCACTTATGTGTGCCGGATACAAGCATATGTTCGGTCCCACATTGTGGCTTCTGCTGATAAGTGTTGTGCTTCCTTTCAGACTAGAATCAGACCTCCTGGGTTTGATTCCCAGCCCCACCAATGAATGCTTATGTGTCCCTTAGGCACCTAGCCTCTCTCTGACCCAGCTTCCTGGTCTGTAAGGTGGGGTTAATAATAGTGCTTATCTCAAAGGCGGTTGGGAGGAGTCCAGCAGATTTATACATATAAAGAACTTAGAACAGTGCCTGGTACAAAGAAGTGTCTCAAAAAGTGCTATCCGAGTGATAGTCCCAGCACAACCGGTGGTGGTGGTCATGGAACAAGAGGAATTCTGTATGGGACTCTGGAGAGGGACCACCCTGGAAGAGGTAGAGAGTGACCCTTGCTGGTCACCGGTTGTTCCCTCTCATGCCTTAGACGGCACTTTTGTTTCAGGCACTGGGCTAGGCACACAGGAAACAGGTTCACCATTGAGACAACCCGCATACCAACAGAGTTCTAGAAAGGCCCTGAGAATTTATACAGACACCTGGTTCTTAACCTGGAGACATGGGTCCCAGAAAGTCTACCTCTGGACTAATGGGGACCCGTGGACCTCTACATATATGTTTTTCTGAGGTCAGTAGCTTCTCTCATATTCTTAGAGGGACCCCTGAGTCAAAAAAGACCCAATCATTTAGTCTACCTGCCCCTGTTTTATACACACACAGACACACACACACACACAGAGACACCCCCCCCCACACATACCCCCTACCTTGGAGAAACCAAGGCTGGTTTCTCCCAGTCCTTTCCCTCTTCCTCAAGGCTGGGAGAGGGAAAGGACTCGCCCACGGTCTCACAGTGAGCTGGGATTGAACTGAATCAGAACCAGGTCCCTTGCCTCTGGTCTAAGAATCTTTTCCTGTCCACGCCAGAGAATCACAGATGTGTGTGTTTGTCTGGGGTCGAGGTAGGGTGGTGTGGCTCATCCAGCTCCTAGGGGAGTGGCGAGTGGCCTTTACTTTGGTCCCCAGGCCTTTGGCAATCCTCCTGGGGGTCAGGTCCCTTGAGGAAACACTTGATGCTGTAGCAAAAGCCCATGATGTTTCTTGACTTGTTCTCAAGCTTGGCTGTGGTAGGATCCCTGGCGAAACCCCCAGGCGTCCTCAGCTCCCTGCTTTCTTGGCTGGGATACGCTGAGCACTTTTCCTCCGGGTACAGAAGCTCAGCAACTTTTATAGAAAATTTAGAAAAGCCAGACAAGCTTAAGCAGCTTCCACTTGTGTGAAAACAGCTGGCTGGGTTGGAAGTGATGTGTATATATATATTCTTGTATGATTGAATCCCACCTCATGAAAGGTCACAGAAAGTGGTGTATGTGTACTACGAGTATATGCAGAATGTCCCAATCAAGTGTGTGCATCGTATTTCAACAGTAAGATGGGTCGACATCACCCAACATCTGTCTGGGTTTCTCAAGATCACAGATATTCCTCTTAGGTTATGAACTCTCAAAAGGACTTACATTTTATTGGGATGCCTGTATGGGTTTGGGATTGTTACACAACCTGCTTTCTGTACTTAATATATTGGGAACATATTCTAGGTCATTAAGTGCCCTTCCTGTGTTCCACCATGGCCCTGTGATGTTGGGGTCAGGGTGTGGTTGGTCCTGAGGGGCTGGCTCTGGGCCAGGCTTCTCCCTGAGGTGCACTTCCCCTGTCTCTGGCTACAGCTCAGCCCCGGCTCCTCTCCTCTTTGTTCCTCCCACAGCTGCAGAAACTCCTTCTCACCACGTCCTACCCAGCCTCAACCTCTGACAGCCAGAAGGAAGGGACCGCCTGGCGCCAGGCAGGCCTCAGGTCTAGAAGTCAGCGGCCTTGGGTCAAGGTATTTCTGCACATGCCCCCAGACCCACCCAGGCCTCTGGGGGTCTCTGGGGAGGGCGGTGTGCACCTTTCCGCTCTTGTTAGAGGCCATCAAGTTCAGTCCACTTCCAGCTTCCCTCTTTGCTCATCACACAACCCTTGTCGCTGATATGCTGGGCACTGCTTGAGACCCAGGCCAGTCTGGGGTTCTAGAAAGAGCCTTGGGCTTGTTCGTGTGCACTTGACCCTTGAACAATGTGAGTTTGAACTGTATGGGACCACTTCCACTTGTTTTCAGTAGTAAACATTACAGTACTGCAGGATCCGCAGTTGGTTGAATCCGCAGATGCAGAGGAACCGTGGCTGCTGAGGGCTGACTAGAAGTCATATGTGAATTTCCCACTGCGTGGCTGTTCTACCCCCCGCAACCCCCACATTGTTCAAGAGTCAACTGTACCTCAGTGTTCCAGGCGCTGTGTTAGTTGTTGGGTTAGAGCAGGGACGAGGAGGATGTGGCCTGCCCTCAGGAAGCTTATGCTAATGCGGTGACGGAAGGAAACATAAGGTCCTCACTGGCACCATGGAGGCCATACGGAGTTTGGATTCCTCTTTATGGGGAGCCATCGGAGAGCTGAAAGCTCTATCTTGAGCACGCAGGAGGGAAGCAAGTCCCTTTTCCTCCTTGGGCTCCATCTTCCGAGACTTCCAAGGAGAGGTTTCAGAGGTAATTTCCCAGCGTTCCTGTTACTCAAAGCCTGCACCCAGCCCTCCCCTCTTGTCCCCAGACACTGCTGCAGGGGACTGCTGCGGACAGTCCCACCCCTTGGGGCAGAATCAGGATGGCATCTTTCTCAGACAGTGGCTCTGTAGGAGTCTGTCCCCTGCCTGGGCTCCCCTGGGGGGCGGACCCTGTCCCTGTGCCCCCTCCCTACTTGTCCTGGCTGACCTCCCAAAACAGAGGTCCATCCCTCATGTTCCATTCTGTCAACAGGGCAGCAGCTAAGCTCCTTCCTGACCCAGCCTGCCCTCTGGAGTGCTAGGGGGCACACCAGGGGCGTGAGACACCCTTGATAGCCAGTCTGGCCCCAGCAAAGAGACATTTGCACTGGGAGCAAAGGCCCTGTGTGGACCAGTGGGGGCAGATAAGGCTGGGGTGGGGCTACATTGCAGAGCACCCCTGGCCAGGGGGCCTGCCCTTTACCCCACGGGTACTGGGAAGATACTGAATTGTTCTTTTTCTTTTTCTTTTTTTAACAGCTTTATGGAGGTGCCACTTATATACCATAAAAGGCACCTGTTTTAAAAGTATGATTCAGTGATTTTTAGTAAATTTACAGAGTCGTGCAGCCACGACCACAATCCAGTTTTAGAACGTTTCCATCATCCCAGGAAGATCCCCAGTGTCCCTGTTTACAGTTAATCCCCGTTCCCACGCCCAGCCCCAGGCAACCACTAATGTACTTCCTGGCACTCTCTCTGAAGGCTCCGCGCAGGGGAGTGGGGTAGTCAGAGCAGGGCTTTGGCAGTAAATCTAGAAAAGGCGAAATCCATAGCTAGGAGACCTGTTAGGAGGCTGGCCATTCCTTCATTCCTCATCCCCTGAGCACTGCTAAGTGCCAGGCTCTGTGCTGGAAGCTGGGGATGAAGTGGTGAAACCTGGCAATTCTGACGATCCAGGTGAGACCCGCTGGGCCTGGCCAGTGGCTGCAGGGGTGGGCAGCGGGGAGAAGCAGTATGGGTCTCCTTCCTCACTCTGGCCTCTTTTCCTCTCCAGATGGACAGCGCCCAAGACAGGAAGGCCCCCATGATGCAGCCTCAGACCCGGAGCTGCACAGAGCTGCATAAGCACCTCACCTCGGTGCCGTCCTGCCCCCGGGCTAAAGCTCGCTCCCCTGATAGGGTCCTCCAGCCACCACCACCCCTGAGTCCCTGGGTCCCTGCCAAGGAGGATGAGGAGGCGGGTGAGGACTGCCCGAGTCCCCAGCCGGCTCCAGCCTCTCCCTGGGACTCCCCAGCACCGGGCAGGGCAGACCCCGGCACCCAGGTGTCCCAGGAGGACATGCAGGCCATGGTGCAGCTCATTCGCTACATGCACACCTACTGCCTTCCCCAGAGGAAGCTGCCCGCACAGGCCCCAGAGCCAGACCCCCAGCCCTGCAGCAGCCCCGCCCAGCAGGTCAGACCCCGGCCTCGGTGCCAGCACCCTTCCAAAGCCACCTGGGCTGAGTTCTCCATCCTGAGGGAACTTCTGGCTCAAGATATCCTCTGTGATGTCAGCAAACCCTACCGCCTGGCCACGCCTGTCTACGCCTCCCTCACACCCCGGGCCCGGCCCAGGCCCAAAGACAGCCAGGCCTCTGCGGGCCACCCCTCCCCCGTGGAGGAGGTGCGGGTCGCGGCTTCACCCCAGAGCTCGGGGCCCAGACCCAGCCTGCGCCCGCTGCGGCTGGAGGTGAAAGGGCACATCAGCCGGTTGGCCAGGCTGCAGCCTGAGGAGGAAGATGAGGAAGAGGAGGAGGAAGAAGAAGAAAAAGAGGAAGAGGAGTGGGGCCGGAAAAGGCCGGGCCGGGGCCTGCCGGGGACCAAGCTGGGGAGGAAGCAGGAGAGCTCTGTGTGCCCCGTGCGGCGTTCCAGGAGACTGAACCCGGAGCTGGGGCCCTGGCTGACGTTCACCGATGAGCCCATGGTCCCCGCGGAGCCCCAAGGGGCTCTGCCCTCGCTGCGCCTGGCCCCTGAGGCCTACCACGTGGAGGGGGAGCTGGGCAGCCCCGCGGACGAGGACAGTGGCCAAGACCAGCAGCTCCGACGGGGACCCCAGATCCCAGCTCTGGAGAGCCCCTGTGAGAGCGGGTGTGGGGACACCGACGAGGACCCCAGTTGTCCGCAGCTCTCTTCTGGAGGTAGTCGGAGTTGGTGGTCCGAGAGAGGGGGCAGGGCCAGGGTGTGGCAGACCCCACTGCCCGGGAGCCAGGAGCCCTGGGTTGGGCAAATCCCTCTCCCTCTCTGTCTCTCAGCTTCCCTTCCTGTGCAGTAGGCTCGTTGGGCAGATCTTCAGGAACCTCCTACCCATCTCTGAGTTTCTCATCATGCATGGGCCAGGTGTCCTTAATGAACGAGCAGCAAGATGCCTGCCTTCTTGGGGCTTGGGTTTCAGTGGGGGAGACAGGCAGTCAAAAAGTGGGCAAGAAAGGAAAAGTGATGACAAATTGTGATAAGTGCTCTAAAGAAGACTCCCTGGGTAGCCATGCGATGGAGGGTGTGAGTCTATAAATTCAGCTCCACAGTGAAGTGGCATTTTAAATGGTAACAATAGTGGGGATAATAATACAGCAGTTATCTGTTATGCACTCGCTGTGCCAGGCTTGGTCTAAGACTTGACACGGATTATCCCCATTGATCCTCACAGGAAGCCCGTGTGGTGGGTGCTGTTATAATTCCCATTTTAAGACACAGAAACAAAGGCACAGAGATAGCTAACGGTCGGTTCAGCGAGTTAGTCCTGCATCTGTCTGGGGCAGAGCCCACAGCCACTACTAGCCTTGGAAGCTGGAACGCTTCACCATTGTGCTACACTGATTGGCCAGAAGGGGTCGCCCTGGTTCCCATCAACTGCAGAATCAGTAGATCCGCCAGCTGTTAATGTTGCTGAGTCTGGGGGAATGAAGGTGGATTTGAGTTGTTCCTGCCAGTCCCTAAAAGTGGCAGAGGCTTTTGGGTCACACGCCTGAAAGAAGCTGTGCTTGGTACCGATGAAGTTCAGAGGGAAACATCTGCTAGCCATGCCATGTTGGGAAAAATCTTATTTTTTTCTTTTTTGTCTTCTTTTCAGACTCTCCCAGGTGCCTCATGCTGGCCTTGTCGCAAAGGTAGATTTTTAGAAATTGTTGGTTTATGACTCCAGGAGACCTTATCTGGTTGGGTGTAGGGTGGTTCATCGGCCCCTGAGCCTGGTCCTTGTCCCCACACCCCTGCCCTCATTGCTATATGGGACTCTTAGGATCTGGGCTCCCTTGAAAGGGAGTTTGTTTTTAGAAGCAGGCCCAGGGGAAAGATGGAGAATTTCATGGGGAAAAGTTGACAGTGCTGTGTGGCTTTGGGCAAGTGTCTTCTCCTCTCTGGGCCTCAGGTGTTCCATCATAAAATAAGGAGGCTGACAATGCTTGTCCTGTTTCCACCTCCCTCAAGTCTCTCCCATGTCTCCTTGAAAGAGCTGTACAGCTTTGATTTCCTCCAACAACCAGGAGAGAGTTCCCCTGAAAATTCTCCCCAGGCATCGCTTTCGTGGGCAGCAGAACCAGGGTCTGGCACAATGTCCCCTTGCCTTCCTGCCATGCTCGGGGAGGTGGAGCCTGCTGCTGACTGACTTCTCTCCTTCCTGTGCTCCCCAGCCCCACTGGCGACCCTCCTTTTGGCAAGAAGAGCTTCGAGCAGACCTTGACAGTGGAGCTCTGTGGCACAGCAGGTGAGCCGGGGGCTCAGCTGGTGGGGTGCCCTTGGGGACGCAGCCCCTCGGGCAGTTAGGGAGTACCCCATCAAGCCTTCCTTGCCACCGCTGCACAGGCTACGCCGGGTCTTGAGCTACACATTGAGGGCGTTATAAGGAGAGTCAGGGCCCAGGTTCAGCTGTTTAGCTGCCAACAGTTGGCACATGATCTGACATGAAAAGAGACACGTGTCTTCCCCTGAAGGAGCCCACAGTCTTATGTGGGCGACAGACTCACACCATGACAAGTACTGTTTGATATGCGCTTGTTCCAAAGACCGTGCAAGAGCTCTGGGAGCACAGAGGAAGGGGAAGAGTGGGGAGGGGCAGGATGTGGCCTGAGAAGATTCACAAAGTACCCAGAGCAGCAAGTATTTGAGCTAGGCTTGCAGGATGCATAGAAGTTGGAGAGACAAAAAAAAAAAAAAAAAAGGGAAGGGTATCCCCGGCCACAGAATTGGCATGAGCAGAGGCACAGAGGAGCGGCAGTATAGGTGCATCAGAGGAGACTGGCCACCCGGTGTTGCTCTGTGGCAGAACTGGGGGGTCAGGCAAACACAACCACCAAAGGCTGAGAGGAATGCCAGGCCGAAGGGGTTCGTCTAGATCCTGTGGGCTTCGGGAGCACCAGAAAGGAAGAGCTCTCTGGCTGATGCCCGGGGGACGATGGAGTCCAAGGTCAGTTGCAGGACCACTGAGATCACTGTGGTGGTCAAATCCAGGTGGGAGATGTTACCTATGGTACCTGCCCCCTCTGCACCCTGGGAGACTTAAGAGGCATTTGGAACGACCAGTGGGAGGGCTCGTGGAATGATTGGATATGGAGCAGGAAGAGAGATCTTGGATGATCTGGAGGCTTTGGCTACCGTTGCCAGACTACAGAAGGGATGGCAAAGGGCTTTCATCACACGCCAGCTCTGAAAAATTACTGATGGACTGTGTGAGGAGGAGTCCCAGGCTGCGTCCAGGCTCGGTCCGCAGTGCGGTAATCGATTAGTGATGCCTGCCATCCATTGGCTCTGGGGAGTGGCGCCATATATGCTACTTCCCTGCCATCCCAAACTAGGGTTTCAGTGTTCCTTGGAGAAGTGATCTGTCTCTGCCTCACATGTGTTTCCTCTTGCTTGGGTAGGACTCACTCCGCCCACCACGCCTCCGTACAAGCCCACAGAGGAAGACCCCTTCAAGCCAGACATCAAGCACAGCCCAGGCAAAGACATAGCTCCCACCCCGGAGGTTCCCTGGCTCGGGGCCGCCGCAGAGGCTGCCCGCAAGCTGCCGAAGAAGCACCCAGAGCGGAGCGAGCTCCTGTCCCACCTGCGGCATGCCGCAGCCCAGCCAGCCTCCCAGGCTGGCCAGAAGCGCCCCTTCTCCTGTTCCTTTGGAGACCACGACTACTGCCAGGTGCTCAAGCCAGACGGCGCCCTGCAGAGGAAGGTGCTGAGGTCCTGGGAGCCATCTGGGGTCCACCTTGAGGACTGGTCCCAGCAAGGGGCCCCGCGGGCTGAGGCACAGGCCTCTGGCAGGGAGGAAGACGGGAGCTGTGATGTCGGCGTCCCCACCAAGGACAGTACGCTGCTGAGAGACCACGAGATCCGCGCCAGCCTCACCAAGCACTTTGGCCTCCTGGAGACAGCCTTGGAGGATGAAGACCTGGCCTCCTGCAAGAGCCCCGAATACGACACCGTCTTTGAGGACAGCAGCAGCAGCAGTGGCGAGAGCAACTTCCTCCTAGAGGAGGACGACGAGGAGGAGGAGGATGACGAGGACTCAGGGGTCAGTCCCCCTCGCTCTGACCACTGCCCCTACCAGAGCCCACCAAGCAAGGCCAGCCGGCAGCTCTGTTCCCGCAGCCGCTCCAGCTCTGGCTCCTCGTCCTGCCGCTCCCGGTCACCAGCCACGCGAAGGACCTTCAGGTATGGATAGACGGGTGGCCTCAGGATGGGTGGTGGACCCCTGAGGACCCCCCAGTTTCAGGGTGTCAGGGGAGAGAGGAGCCCTGAAACTGGGGCTGCGTCTCCCTGTGTGGTCAGTGTCCTGGTCGGAGGCCCTGGAGGTGGACTCCTTGGGGAGTTGTGGGCAAGTCCTGTATCCAAGCAAAGCCTGCTGTGTGGCAGTCAGGAGTGGCCCAAATCTCCTGGCCTCGGGGGAGGAAGAAAACTCACTTTCTGGCCTATTGTGGCCTGATATCCAAATGAACTTGCCCCTCATTCATCGGTTTCTGTTTTTATATTTGTAAAATGGTTAGGTTTTTGTGTAAACATATACAGTTAACCCTTGAACAAGGCGAGGGTTAGGGGCACCAATCCTCCCTACAGTCAAAAATCCCGTGTAATTTATAGCCGGCCCTGCTTATCCGAGGTTCCTTCGCATCTGCAGATTCAACAACTGCCGACAGTGTAGTACTGTCGTATTTACTGTTGAAAAAATCCCGGTGTAAGGGGATCCACAGAGCTCACATCCATGTTGTTCAAGGGTCAATATACCCACACAGTGTAATACCTATGTGATGTTTACATGTGAAAGAAAGATCAGCATAATTCTAATCTATGTTCAAAAAAAAAAAAAATACCGGGATTTAAAGCAGTGATAAGGTTTATTCCCATTTCTCCGTGCTGCTGAGTTGCACAGTGTCTTCCGGCAGTCAGCCGCCCCCGTGGGAGCTCTTTTACCTTCGCACAGGGATGATGTGTCATGAGCCTGTTTGCTCGTACCATCTTTGCTCACTGAACCGGACTGTAGAAGGAGCTGGTCCAGAATTCCGTGGGGGGCTGGGCAGAAAGAATAGAAGTTTGGCATATTTTGGTGGAGATAGATTGCTTCTCTCCCTGCTCACAGCAGGACCTGGCTCTTCCTGGGGGAGGCCTGAGGAGGGTGGGTGCAGGTCCCAAACCCTCTGCCCGAGATGCACCTGAGTGACCACCAGATGGTGCTCTTGGGTCTGGAGCAGTGCAGAGTCACCAGGAGGCCTTGTTACCGCTCAGATGGCAGGGCCCCACCTCCTCAATGTCTGGTTTTGTAGGTCTGGGGGTGGAGGTGGAGAATTTGCATTTGTAACAAGTTCCCAGGGAATGATGACGTTGCCAGAGTGCCATGCTCTGAGAAGCAGAATTCAGGTAATAGAAAGATACCTTTCCTTAGGAAAATTCTGCATTATATTTCCTTATCTATACCAGTAGCTCTTAACTGAAAATCTGATTAAAAGCAAAGCCTCCTTTCCCCATTAGAATGAGCATAGACGTCTAACTGAGCATTCAATTTTAGGGGATTTGTGGACTCCCCAGACACTAACGTGCTGCAGCCCTGAACTATCTGTCACTCGAAATGAGCTTATTTTGAGCAATTTCTCTAAAAACCCTTCTATGTCATAAGCCAGGACGATCAGTCAGAGCCATCTTCCGTCAGACCTCTCTGAGCCCTCCTTCCAGCTCCGTTCTCCTTTCTCCAGGGGTCGCTGTGAGCTAGCCCACCTGTGTTCTCATTAGGCGGTTTCCTCTGCAGCATCTTCTCAGAAGCTGCTACGGTTCTTGTCCTGTTGAAGCGCATCCCCCAAGGCAGGAGTTGGAGTTTCTCGGCCTCCTTCCCCTCCTGAGCTGTTCAGGGCCTGTACCCATGGGCTTGTCTGCAAAGAGTTGGGGGCCTCTCTTGAAACCCCCATGGATTCTCCTTTTCCTCTTCTCCCTTTTGGGCCAAGTTCAGGGCTGGCTTTCTCTGCCACTGGAGAAAGTTAATTGGTTAACTTGGTTCCTGCTTAGCTGCCTGGCAGAGCTTGGTGGCTGGTAAACATGAAAAACTAGTCATCAGTCTTCTCCAGACCAGCATTTCTTTACCTGTGCTTCTGCTACCGAACAACAGTCAACAGGAAGCACTTTGAGCTGGTTTAACAAGCCCTACAGCACCTTCCAGTCACTCTCAGTTCTTCATGGGGGGAGGCCGCCAATTCCATTGCAAATGGATGATGATACTATTATTGTGTAGTACTTTAAAGTTTGCAAGTCACATCCCTTTCTTTTACCCTATGTGAGCTTCACAGATGCACTTGGAGGGTGCGTCTGCCTCTTATCCCCATTTTATAGATGAGGAAGCTGAGGCTCAAAAACGTTCAATAGAAAAATATAGCCAGCAAGTATTGAGCTGTTCCTGGGCTAAGCATTTATTGGCATGTTCTGATTTGATCCTCCCAAATGGCCTAGGAGGCAGATACAATTGATTCTCCCTAGTTGACAGGTGAAGAACTGGAGCTGAGGTGGCTGCAGTAGCCAGCCCGAGGTCACCAGCAGGGAGGTGGTAAAGTCAGCGTTGGAACGCTCTCTGACTCCAGAGCCCCTGCTCTCATCATCTGCTTTGTTCCCAAGGACGCAGACAGCGTGTGGCAGAGTTGGGACTCACCCATGCCCCACACGCCTTGCTGCTTCCACTCTAGCAGCCTGGCCCTCAGGAGGAGAGGGCAGTGTGCAGACAGTCAGGAGGGCGCAGGCGTGCGGCATCCGGGAGCCTCTCGGGCTGTGCATCTGGGCTGACTGGTCCCCTGACCCCCAGGGCCCAGGGGCTGTGATGGCTGCTGGGGCTGCTGCTTGGCCAGGCTGCAACCACTGGAGGGAGAGCAGCGGGTCTGGAATCAGCAGGCTTCCCACTAGCTCTGGCTTCCTTACTTTTTAGCTTTGCGCGAATTTCATACTGAACCTGAGCCTCAGGGTTTTCATCTGGAAAGTGGGGAAACATGAGACCTCAGAGGATGGTTTTTTTTCTTCAGGTCAAATACCATAATGAAGCGAGAGGGCCTTTCCGCCCCCGTTGGCATAGAAAGGGTCACAAGGGTTATGATTAGCAAAGTGGTGGTTCTCAGTGATCTCGTCCCAGAAGCTGGCAGAAGGTATGTGTCGGTCACGTGTTGAGACCCGCAGGCGAACCCGGGCGGTCACCGCTGAGGGGGAAAGCCGGGCTCCCTCAGGAGGGCCTTCTCGTAGTTCTGCCCTCACGAACGAGTCCGAAAGAAGCGGAGGAAGCACCCCTTGCCTCCTGAGCAAGTCCTTCCCCCGTCCCCCTGTGGTTCCTGCCGAGAGTGAGTGCCTCTGCTTTGCTTGTTCACTGACAGATGTGAGAGCAGAGGGTCGTGTTCAGACAGAACGCCAAGTGTCCGGCACACCAGGAAGCAGCGGGAAAAGGCCATTGTAAGTGAAATGGGGCCCCAGAGCCCAGAGTGAATGGGGATGAGCAGGGGCATCAGGGAGTGCTAGGGCTTCGTAGACCTGAAGCTCTTTGAGGTCATCTGTGGCCTGCAGGAGGTAGTTATATTTCTCTCATTTAAAAAAGCACAGGGGTCACCAAAGGGCATCAAAGGTGGCACCGTGCAAAATGCAGCCAAGGGCTGGCTGGGAGGCGTGCAGTTGGTGAGCACATAGGGCTCAGCGTCAGAGGCTTGACAGGGCCCGGGGGACAGGCGGTGATGGGGGAGCAGAGCTGGCCTTGCTTCCACTTCGGTGTGACCGTCAGTTGCTCCCCAGCTTCCCTGAGCCTCAGTTTACTCATCTGTACACAGGGTCCCCCGGTGCGATCGGGGCTAAGGGACCAAGAGAGACTGTCCCTTCCTCCTGATCCATCTCCTTAATCTTCTCCCAGAGTTAGTTCACAGGCCAGGCAGTGCCTGGTGGACCCACTGCAAAGCACCCCGTAGGGAAAATTCATCAGGAAGCTGCGGCGAGGAGCTGGATTCATCTCCTCCATATCACTTAGAAAAGAGGGAAGGGAAAGTAAGACAGAAGCACGAACAGACAGACAGACTCTCACTGGATTGTCCACCTCCCCCCCAGCATGGTGCTTCAGGGAAGGGAACACATGAGGTATGCATACCCCAGAGGTACGCATGCAGCTGTCTCGAAGCAGGTACTTAAAACCATGTGGAGCGTCTTCCTGGAAACCATGTGTGACCATTCAGCAGTTGTGACATGCCCTGTTCTAGGTGCTGGATGGCAAGAGTGAACGAGACAGACAAGGTCCCCACTTCCCATGGTTGGGCCAGAAGGGAGAGAGAGACAACAGACTCATAAACAAATCAATAAACACTGTAATTACAGATTGGGAGGTGCACTATGAAGTTAATCACGTCATGACTAAAGTGTCTGAAACAGTCGTGTTTTGACTGTGTGGGGCTGATGTATTTATATGGTCGTCTAGGAGGGGCATCTTCAAGGAGCTGGGCCCCAAGAGATGAAAGGAGCCAATGAAGCAAAGATCCTGGAGGACAGTGGGGCAGAGGCAGGAAAGAACCTTGTGAATTCAAGGTGCCGGAGGAGGCTGGGAGAGGACATTGCTACACGCAGCTGAACCTAGGCCATCCTAGGGAACGTGCACACTTCCCGTGACCGTACAGCAGCGCCCTGCTGTGGACTGCGGGCCCTTGCTTTCCTCCCTGCCCTCAGTGGCGCAGAAGGGGATGGCTGGAGAACCACAGGCCTTAACCTGTTCCGGAGCAAGCCCATCTAAACCAGAACCTGGTGATTTTGCCCACAGGAGCACAGCTGGAGTTTCTCCAGCAAATCAGAGCCACTCTTCCGATAGCTGTGGCTTTAACTTCCAATCACAGACGGTAGAGGAAGAAGGGAGGTTCCAGCTGGGCTTCCCCCCTCCCCTCCCCCTGCTGGGCAGTTCTAGGGGCCTGGCACCAAGCTCACCTGAAGGTCACCTCTTGGTCACAGTGTCTACACAGTACCCTGGCGAAACCAAAGATGATGGTGGCTCCAAGCCCTATGCCCCTGTCCCATTGCTTTTTTCCCAGCCCACTCTAACCCATAGCGACCTGGCCCCCTTTGCTCGTCCATTACCATCCTCGGACCTCCCCCACTACCAGAAAAAGTCAGACTCAAAACAAATACAGAAGCTACTCACTGTGCAGTTACATCCATAGTGACGGCTCCCTCTCCCATCTGCGCCCAGTCTCTGCTCATTCCCTTCAAGTAAACAGCTGCTTCCTTTGGGGCCACTTCCCCATCCGATGCTAAACAGCCCCCTCCTCTCACAAGGCAGGTCCTCTGGGATAGCGACCGTCATTGTCCTCTCTGACTCCAGCCCCAGCTGGTGTCACTCGCTTAGCCAGGTGATGTGGACTGGGGACGAGGACTCCATGGGAGCCTGCCACCAAGGGGGCTCCAGGAAGCCAGGCAATGATGACGGGTCCCTCTGTGTCCCCCTCGGGCAGGGTGAAGGCCGCGTGGTGTACGTTCGAAATCTCTCCAGTGACATGAGCTCCCGTGAACTGAAGAGGCGCTTCGAGGTGTTTGGAGAGATTGTGGAGTGCCAGGTGCTCACGAGAAGCAAGAGGTGAGTCAGGCTCTCGCAGAGGAGGGGAGTGGAGGGCACAGAGGTTCCAGTTCAGGTCTGGAAGCATAAAAGATGTCTGAGAAGATTTGCAGAACAAATCTACTGCCAGCGCAGGGGAAGGAAGGACCGGTAACCATCATGCAACCCAGTAATAGCAGGGAACATGTACTGATAATTTGCTAAAGTGCGAGCCAATTTCCATGCATTCTTTTTGTGTGTGTGTGTTACGCGAGCCTCTCACTGTTGTGGCCTCTCCCGTTGCGGAGCACAGGCTCCGGACGCGCAGGCTCCGGACACACAGGCTCAGTGGCCGTGGCTCACGGGCCCAGCCGCTCTGGGGCATGTGGGATCTTCCCAGACCAGGGCACGAACCCGTGTCCCCTGCATCAGTAGGCGGACTCTCAATCACTGCGCCACCAGGGAAGCCCTCCATGCATTCTTTTACTTAACTTTCCAACTTGCCTGTGACGTATGCACTCTTACTCTTTCTATTGCTCTCCTTTCTGGGGAGCTCAGTCAAGTTAACTGAACAGCTACCTAGTGGCAGAGCCAGATCTGCAGCCTGTGTGTCAGCTTCTGGTTTTCCATCCTAGACCCTGGTACAGGGCTGCAAAAAGCTCCTGGTGGGGCTTCCCTGGTGGCGCAGTGGTTGAGAGTCCGCCTGCCGATACAGGGGACACGGGTTCGTGCCCCGGTCCAGGAAGATCCCACATGCCACGGAGCGGCTGGGCCCGTGAGCCATGGCCGCTGAGCCTGCGCGTCCGGAGACTGTGCTCCGCAGCAGGAGAGGCCCGCGTACCGCAAAAAAAAAAAAAAAAAAAAAAAAAGCTCCTGGTCGCTGAAGGCATGCTTGCATTGCAGTCTTACTTCGCTGCAAGCCCCACGCTGCTCCATCCCTCTGTTCCTCTGCAGCTGTGGCCCAGGTGTCTCACTCACCTGGGGAAGCAGTGTTTCATCTGTCAGGGGATCTGCAAGAATAGGTTGCGTATAAATGTACAACTTAGATGTCAAAGCTTTGTCGGTTTTGAAATAATTCTGAAGTATCTCCCATTATACTTGCAAACGAAGTTATTAAGTTTTTAAAATTCTAATTTAATAATAATTTTTAAAAACTTCAGTGAGAAAATAGTTTCTGCATAAGAATCATTACACATCTCACATCCCTTAGGGTGGCTACAGAAAATAACAAGCGTTGGTGAGGATGTGGAGAAATTAGAACCTTGCGCACTATGGGTGGGAATATAAACGGTGCAGCCACTGTGGAAAACGGTATGGAGATTCCTTAAAAAATTAAACATAGAATAACCATTTTATCCAGCAATTCCTCTTCTGGGTATATAATCAAAAGAATTGAAAGGAAGATCTTGAAGAGATATTTGCACATCCCTGTTCATAGCACCATTATTCACAATAGCCAAGAGGTGAAAACAACCCAAGTGTCCGTTGACAGATGAATGGATAAACAAAATGTATATGCATGCAATGGAATATTAGTCAGTCTTAAAAAAGGGATGGGCATCAGTCCTGTCACATGCTACAGCATAGATGAACCTTGAGGACGTTATGCTAAGTGAAGTAAGCCAGCCACAAAAAGACACATATTGTGTGATTCCACTTACGTGAGGGATCTAAAGTAGTCAAATTCATAGAAACAGAAAGTAGAATGGTGGTGGCCAGGGCCTGGGAGGAGGGGGTATAGGGAGTTGTTGTTTAATGGGTACAGAGTTTGTTTTGCAAGATGAAAAAGTTCTGGAGGTCCATCACACAAACTTAACACAACGGAACCGTACACTTCAAGATGGTAAATTTTATGTTATGTGTTTTTAATCACAATTTTTTAAAAAAGTCATTACACAAATAGAACTGTTTTAAGTTCTGTGCAGTCTTCAGGATGTCAAATGAAGATAACCTGTAAAGACAAAGCAATCAAATTAATCTCTGAGGAGAAGGGTCAATTTGTTAAGATTTAAAAAGCATGCATGAGTCTCAGACATTTAAAGAATCAGAAGGGTCCCAACTTTGGCCTGGTTCAGAGAGGTGTCAGGAAATGCGATACAGCTGAGTGTTTACAAGGCCTCTGCTGTCACTAGGCCTGTGCTGAGTAGTAGGAGGGTCCACGTGGTCTCTGTCCGTGAGGAGTCTGTCTGGCAGATGGGTAGGTCGGGGTTCGTTCTCTTGTTGTTTGTGGAACTGAGGAGTCAGGTAGAACTGACTTTAGGTCCCCCTCACCTCGGCATCCTTCTCAGGCAGGCTTCCCTCCTGGTAGCAAAGTGGCTGCCTCCAGCTCTAAGTTTGTCTCCTACTCGGGGAAGCAGGAGTCTGTCTCCCTCACGGTTCCAGCAAAGACGTGGGATGGAGTCTTTGGGGTTCTGCTTTGGCTGACGGGTTCATCCTTGAACAAATCACTGTGGCCAAGGAGGGCCACCGTTGTGTGACTTACCCTGGCGCCCTGAGCCCAGCTGAGCACAGGGCACTGTTGTCAGAGGACGGGGAGTAGAGGCTGAGCAGGCAGGCACGACACGTCTCCCATGAAGGATGAGATGTGTACGGAGTACCATCGATCTCAGGGAAGGTGAAGGCCAAGTTAGCAGCCAAGGAAGGGCTGGCTGAGGCTGCCTTTGAAGGGTGCGGGCCTGGGAGGATGGGGGCATAGGTGTGGCAAATCCTAGAAAATGGGAATCCTGAGGGAAGTAGAGGGGAGTGTGGAAAGGATCAGCCTTCGTGGCGGGAAGCCTGAGTTTACTTCCCTGCTCTGCCACCCGTCTTTGGGCAAATTCTGAACTCAGAGCCTGTTTCCTCACTCCAGAGGGGGGAGGTGACAACAGCCCCCCATCACAGGGGGGTCTGAAGAGCGTGTGGGGCGATGGGTGGTGGCCAGCCCCGGGCCAACATGCAGTAGATTGCCTGCTCTTACTATGACTCCATTGTGGAGGTCAGCCCCGTGACTGTCGTTGTGTCTATCGAGGGGCCATGCGAGACAGTTACGGAGTCATCGTGGCTTTCCGCTCCTCACCTAGTGGCGGGTGGTCTGACGATGTCGACCGAGCTGGCCCAGTGACGCGCTCCCCTTGTCCTCTCTCCCCAGAGGCGAGAAGTACGGCTTCATCACCTACCGGTGTTCTGAGCACGCCGCCCTCTCTCTGAGGAACGGCGCTACCCTGCGGAAACGCAGCGAGCCCTCCTTCCAGCTGAGCTACGGGGGGCTCCGGCACTTCTGCTGGCCCCGCTACACTGACTACGGTGAGTATGTAGGCCCCGCACATCCCAGTCAGACCCAAAACGTCAGGGGCAGTGACCTCCTTTATTGAAACCTAAAGCCCACTCTGGACACGGCTGCCACACCCAGACTCCCCTGTGCTGGTGAGTATAACTTGGCAGCCACCTGGCCCGGAGGCTGGCCTCTGGTGCATCTTGTTCTGTGCCAGGACTGCTACCAAAGAGATGAAGCCTCTCGTGGCCTCTTGGAAGGTCCAATCTCGTGTTCACAGCCACCTGGCAGAACCATGGCTACCGTCTCTTTGACCTCACGGGGCCAGTACTGACCTGCCCCCTTGAGGGGCATCCACGGCGGCCCCGACAGGCAGCAGCCTTGTCCATTAATGGGCCGCAGTGAAACTATTGTCATCTGGGGACAAGTCAGTGAAGAAGGACAAAGTATCATTTAGGAGAGAGTTCTTTATAGGGGAGAGTCCGGTGCAGCCTCCGGAGTGCAGGGCTGAGTGTCAGGAGACCCCGGAGGCTCCCGGCCAGGCAGCGTTCCTGACTGCATGTTCCCCGTGGGGACCCAGTTCCCTGGCCATGCGCTAAGGGATTCATAGTTTCGTGGGCTGCCTTACGTGACCTCCTCACTGGTTTCCTAATGGGCAAGAAACTGTTAAGGGAAGTAGAATTAGAGGCTTTTGGAGCTGGAAAGGAGCTCTGGGGGACTCTGCTTCAGGCCTCCCCATCCTACAACCAGGGCGACCGAGGCCCTGAGACACTGCTCCCATGGCAGAGGTGTTCCAGCAGGAGGGCAGCGCTGCTGCCCGCCGCCCGGTGCTCTCTGAGGCCTCGGGCGCATCCGCTCTGTGGTGCTGACCCCGGCGGCAGATTTTCTGGTCCGCTGGCCTTGCTGAGCTGCTTGCCGCCTTCCCCTCTCACTGCCTCCTCCACCCCCACCCAGATTCTAATTCAGAAGAGGCCCTGCCTGCGTCAGTGAAAACCAAGTACGAAGCCATGGATTTTGACAGCTTACTGAAGGAGGCCCAGCAGAGCCTGCACTGATAACAGCCTTAACCTTCGAGGAATACCTCAATACCTCAGACAAGGCCCTTCCAATATGTTTACGTTTTCAAAGAAATTAAGTATATGAGAAGGAGAGAGAGCGAGTGCGTGAGAGAGAGAGAGAGAGAGAGAGAGAGAGAGGCTTGGAACTGCTGTCCTTTTAAAACAAACAAAAAAATCAATGTTTACATTGAACAAAGCTGCTTCTGTCTGTGAGTTTCCATGGTGTTGACGTTCCACTGCCACATTAGTGTCCTCGCTTCTGACGGGTTGTCCTGGGTGCGTTCCAGACGCTGAGTCCGTCACCCGCCTCCCCTTCCTCCCCGACCGACGTCCCCTCGTAGACGTGCAGCTGTGTTCACCATACCATTTCTTGTCTGTAGTGTGTGATGATGAAATCGTTACTTGTGAATAGAATCAGGATTATAAACTCATTTTTAATTGAAGAAAAAAAAAGTATATCCTTAATGTATTTATGGCTCAGATGTACTGGGCCTGGGATTATTGTATTGCTTCCTTGATTTTTTAACTACGCACTGTCGTGAGGTGTTTGCCACTGAGCTGCACTGCTCCCTTTGCCAGAATGCCCCAGAGGTGCTGGGTGGCCGGAAGCCTGGTCACCGGGGAGGTGTGGCATGCAGCCACAGCTGGGAGGAATGGAGAGAGGTTTCTGGGCCTCTTCTGCTGAGCGCTGCCTTGTCTCTCATTGAGCAAGTTTGGGTCCATTTACAATCAGAGCCCTCATCTGGTGTCCAGCTCACGCTTAGAATTTGTGCCTGGCCGTGAGTGCTCAGATCCTTGCGGACCTTGGAAGGAAGGTGGGGTGAGCTGCGTTATTCCCGTTTTCCAGGCAGTGCCCCAAGAGGCAAAATGACTTGCCCAGGGTCCCACAACCAGTGAGACTACAGAGGAACGGCCCAGCCCGGGCCTATCCTAGGATAAAGAGGCAAAGTTGCAAGGACTGGTAGAGGTGGGTTCAGCTAAAAAGGACAACAGGCTAGACGCTTCCAGGCTCATTTTGTGGGGGTAAGTCAATGGCTGTCTCACCAGCATGGGGCAAGTTTAGGCTCTGGTACCAGTCTTGATCCAAGGGGTCCTGTGGTTTGCTTATACCTGTGGACATGCCATCACAGCTTCAGTGATGCACCTGGGGTGACACAGAGAGGCAACCTGGGAGCGGTCATTCATCCTTTTTGGGCCAGTCACCAGCCCATCCTCCTTCAGCTTGACTTCCCTTTTCTTCACCTGTAAAGTTGTTTTGGTGGCATGGGGCAAGGGGAGCAGGAGGGAGACATGAGGGATGGGGATGGACAAGACAATCTCCAAGCTCCTCTCCGACGTAGAAAACGTTCATTGGGCTTTACTTTAAAATTTGTGTTCTTGAGTGATGTCAGAGCCGTGTCCAGCTTGGATGTTCTGCAGGTGCCTTGGGGGCCGTTTGTGAGGGAGAGCATGGCCAGGAAGGGTAAGAGTGCATTGCTTCTGCTTCAGACAGAGCGGCTCCAACTTGGTCTCTTTCACACATCAGGGTTCCTTGGGAAATTTTTGTGTTTAAAAGAAAAAAAGTCCTGCTGCTTAAAAAAAAGTTTGAACTTGACTCATTTAACTAAACGAGGTGATTTAATCTATTATTAATGCCGGGCCTATTTCTTTGGGAATTGGTAGTTACGGGGTTTTGGTTTGTTTGTTTTTGCAGTACGCAGGCCTCTCACTGTTGTGGCCTCTCCCGTTGCGGAGCACAGGCTCCGGACGCGCAGGCTCAGCGGCCACGGCTCACGGGCCCAGCCGCTCCGCGGCATGTGGGATCTTCCCGGACCGGGGCACGAACCCGTGTCCCCTGCATCGGCAGGCGGACCCTCAACCACTGCGCCACCAGGGAAGCCCTGTTTGTTTGTTTTTAAGATTATAAAATACCTCAGTAGGTTAACTGGGCTGACGAACCTCTCCTGAGAGGTGAGCATACTCCAAGCTGGCAGAGAAGGTTGGAGGAGACAGGCATTAGAGGAACAGGGAATTTGAGTTCCTGTGTATCAAGTCACTTCACCTCTCTGGGCCCCAATTGTCTTTTCTGTGTAATGGGCTGAGGGGGAGACTTAGGCAAGCTGATCTCTAAGGTCCTTGCCAGGTCTGATAGTCTTAGCTTCTCCTAAGGTGGTATCTAGCAAATACATAGTGGCATATGGGCCACTACTCCCATGTCCTCGGCCAGTAGCAGATATAACTAATCAACCACAGTACTCATGTTCTCTGAGCTTGGTCATGCTATTAGAATCCTCAACACAGTTCCGAGCAGCCATTACTAACTGATCAGAGTTTAACCTGTTTAACCTTCTGGTCTAATCTTTGAATGGTTTCTGTTATACAGAACTATATGGTGGTGGGTTTCATGCTGGCCCATCCCTGATCTATGAGAGAAAATTCCCCTAAAGCCCTTCCTTGGCACAGGACTCCCAATATTACTCCGACACAATCCCATTTCGGGGTGGGGGCCAAGTGGAATAGTGGGCAGGAACATGTTTGGGGAAGGCAGGGTTTAGGAGGATGGACCAAAAGGGGACTTTCCACAGCACGGACCTGCACATTCTAAATTCCTTTGATAGCTGTTCACTGCCTGGCATACAGTAGGCACACAATAAATGGTTATGGAATAGAACGGAATGGAATAGAATTTAAATCCACCCGATGCCTCCCCTAAGTCCTGATTTGCACCAAGGAGTAAACTGAGATTTCATCCTGTGGAAAAAGTAGGAAGGAACTCTGCATTCAGAGTCTGGAGAACTGGGTTGAGTCCTGGCTCTGTCAAAAACTATCTTTGTGACTTTGATAAGTCACAGAGTCCCTTCCTCTCCCTAAGCCTTGGTGTGCCAGAAGGAGTCAGACTAGATGATCTCTAAGCCCCTCCTGTTTGCTTCTTCCTTGACTGCACTAGCCTAGAGATTCTACCATGAGAAGATGGTACCTTAGGGTAAAGAAATGCAGACTTTTAGTGAAGGACAAATGTGTCCCCTCTTCTGGGTCAGCTGAAGCTGCCCTTTCACTTCAGATTAATACAAGGCACTTGAAGGTAGTTAGACATTGGCTCTTGAGTGTAGTACTGGGACGTGATATGCCTAAGGTGGGGGCTGGGTCCCGCTGATGGGAGAGGGTGCCTCCCAAAGGCATCAGGAAGTTTCTTCTCTCCATCCCGTACATAAAAGGCTGCAAGTTCTAAAACTGACCAACCCTGCAGACAACCTCCATCCGGAAGACTCATTCGGTGCTCTGTATCATTTACCAAGGAGACTCCAAGGTCTCTCCAGACAACTAGTCAACCTTGGTCTCTTTCCCACCAAATTAAGGAGTAACCCAGAGGGAGCAGCTGCCATTGGCAACCATCTCATTGTAGCTCTGTCCTAGTATTTGCTCTTGATCATGTTTACATGTGATTGCCATAAAAGCTTACAGTAGACTGTGTTGGTAGCCACCCACGCAAGGCAGGTTGTACTGTCCATCTCTGTGCCATGCTGGTGTTTTACAAATATGTCCGATCTAAACGCTAAGTGGAATTCTTCCATCTCCTTCCTCAGTCGGTACAGGCTGAATCAGAATCCTCACTCCTGGGGGCTCTGGTTACCGAAGGAAAATGCATCAAAGAGGTAAAGAATATGAGTGGATGGAGTGCAGCTACGGCGGTGACCCCCTTCCCCCCCATCATACCTTGCCCCCCAACCAGAACACTGCTTTGAGACCCAAAGCACCAGTCAGGTGTCTGCATCTGCTGTGAGTTCTCACAGCTTTGCGTGTCAAATGTGCCCAGCAGAGAGGCAGGGCTTCAGGGGTTCCAGGGCGGGAAGAGGAAGGGAAGAACGCTCTAAGCTGCAAAGACTCGGTACCCAGGTCCTGATGTGGGAAGACATGCAATCAGAAATCGTTCTCGCCTAAAGCCTGTGCTTGTTGATGTTTGGAGAGCGATTTCTTCTAGGTGTATGCAATATACGTACTGAGGGGGCAGGGAAGGCATGACAGTGCAGCCCTTCTGCAGGGATGGCTTGGAACCCTATCCCAGGCCTTAGGTTCAGTTGAAATGACAGCTGAGCCTGCAGCTTGAGAGATGGGACATCCCAGCTGTGAAGCAGAATCAACCCCAAAGGATTTGTTGATCTGACTCACTGACGTCAAAACTGCAGTATTTTCTTACCATTTGAGATTTAGCAGTTGTCCTCAGATATGACCAAGGAAAGAAATTGAATGTACAGTAGCAAATAAAGTGAACCTAATGGTTTCAATGGCCAAAGAAGAGGGATCCTTCCCATGGGGGCAGAAGGAAACCGGTTTGTGCTTACGTGCAATATGTTTAAGCTGTTCCCCAAGTCCCTGAGACATTTGCACATATAGATGGGCTCCAGGGCTGTCTGCCGGGTCCAGGGGTACGGGGTAAATGGAGGGAGAGCTTGGGAGCTGGGAAACCCTCATGCATAGCGATGCCCTTGGCCCAAAACAGACGTGAGGTGGAGGGCCCCTGAGAGCCGGCTGTAGAATGTCCAGGAAAGTAGGCAGAGGCTACCTTTGCATGGAACCAATAAAAGCACTTTGAGAAAACCACAGCACTCAGCCTGGCTCCGTGTTTCTGCACTGGCGAATATGGATCTCCTTGGGCTGTGTGAGGCATTCTCCTAGGGATTGGAACAGGGGATCAGGAAAGGGGCTGGTGAGGGAGGAGGGAGCAGAGATGCCTTCCTAGACATCAGCCACAGGAGAGCCCATTCTAGGGCCAGCCCTTTGCTGGCCTCTTTGTTGGAGGCCCTAAAAATGGAGTGGTGCTTTTCAATCTCGGTACCTATTTCTGTAAAAAAAAAAAAAAAAGAAAAAAGAAAAAAAGAAAACAGCACAGCTGATTGAAATGGGTTTGCAGAGCAAATCGTTTATCTATAAGCCATCTCAAAGTGAGAAACCCAGAGTTTCTTGCTTGCTATGTGGTCTTGGGCCACTGTTTCCTCATTTACAAATGGGAATATTGGATGGAATGAGCACTAAAGTAAGTCCCTTTCACCTCTGATAGACTCAGATTCCCATCCTGGAGCCTCGGGAATCCATCACTGACCCACGAAACCAATTCCATTCTCTGACTGCCCAGCTCACATTCAGGGTGAGAGTTCTCTGCAAGGTAACCAACCCGCGGTGGATTCAGACCCACGTGGTCCTGGCTGAGTTACCTTATGTGAGGAGGCCAGCTCCCCAGGACAGATCTAAGCCATAGTTTCTGGTGGGGTGGTGAGAAGTAAACCCCAGCTTGGCTAGGTGGCGACGTCGAGTCTCACATGAGCCTCGTCATTGTCCTCGCCGCCGAGCAGCTTTCAGTCCGAATGTTGTGACCACTTGGCTGTTTCTCTATTGCTCACAGACAATACTAGCAATACACTTGTTTTTCCAAAACAGCTTAACTTAGGCACTTTTCACACATTTCTTTCAAATGATTGTAAAACATATGGGGCAACAGGAGGCGTGGATCACACTGCATATGTTTAGGGCAACTTTTGTTTTTTGTTTCATTATAGCAGCGGTGACTGAGGCTTCAAGATCGGGGGACAGATGTTTAGGTACTCCATTTCATCAGAATGCCTTGCACGTTCAGAAGCAGCACAGAAATCCAACTGCCCGAACTGGGGGTTCGGAAAATAGGGTTTTGTAGGTGGTCGTTCCCTGGGCTGTGCAACAGTGTCTCAAAGACATGGTTTATAGCCAGAACCCCCTCTCTGCTGTACCTTTTGTCAAAGGATCCTCCAAGCCTCCTTTTTCACTTTGCCAGCCTTGCTCGTGGGTGACTTTTGAAGGGACTGGTCATCTTCCACCTCAGCACTTTGCCTTATCAACGTCTAGCCGCCATCTAGTGGCCAAAGACTGTATCTACCAGCTACCCAGATGGAAGGCAAATAAATCCTTTTGGCTACCTTGCTGTCCAACACCATCTTTGGGAATGAAATGCAAGGTCATGAGCAAACTGTGTGTTTAGAGCACAGTGTAACACCAGTCAGAAGCCCCAGCAGCAGCCATGCAGACTGAGAAGTAATACACTAGCTATCCTGTTGGCAGCAGAGACAGGAGTGGACCCTGTGCCCAGGTGCCCAGGAGGGGTTTACTGTAACTGCAATACTGGCAGCACAGCTGCTGACCTTGTTAAGTGAACCTCTGCTCTGTGCCCCCCACTGGACCCTCGGGACAAGCAAAGAGGTTGAGTGTGAGGATTCTGTGGGGGGCCTGGCCATGGCCTTTGGTATGGTCCACCGAATAGCCAAATAGATTTTTTTTGTTTGTTTGGTTTTGTATTTAAAAATCTTGTCAAATGTTTTTGTGTTAGGAATAAAAAGTCATAAACTACTCCCAACTTTGTTTCTGGAGGAATGTTCTGATTCCAATGGAAAGAGGTTGGAAATCTCAAGGGGTGTGCGGTCAGAGTGGTCAGTGGACCAGGGAAGTGGACCACTTGGATTTCCAAATGGTTTCTGGGGAAGGTGGCCATCCAGAAGTCTGGCCCAGGGCAGTCTGCTCCGGAAATTCACACCCACCCCCTTCACCTACTT